GTAAAGGGGCTGGGGATGTGGCTCAAGCAGTAGCGGGCTCGCCTGGCATGCGTGCGGCCCAGGTTTGATCCTCAGCACCATATACAAACAAAGATATTGTCCACAGAGAACTAAAAAATAAATATTAAAAAAAAAAAAAAGGTAAAGCATTCAAGATCTGTGTAGCAGGAAGGAACTCTCCCTTTATTTGTCTCTTCTTTCCCAGTTAGGGTGATCATCAGGTGGGATCTTATCCCACTGTAGTTAGGAAACCATCCTTTGGTCAGTTTTTGTGGACAACAGATTTTTATCATCCTGTGCAATGAAGTGGTTGCTTTGGCCCTGGGCATGATGCTGATAGAGCCTAGAAGTTCTTTTTTAAGTCATTTTAATACCACACAGGGGGTTGTTGTTATGGCTCAGCAGTAGAGTGCTCGCCTCTCACATGCAAGGCCCTGGGTTTGGTCCTCAGCACCAAATAAAAATAAATAAATAAAATAAAGCTATAAAAATGTCAGGAAAAAAATAACCACACAGGATTATAAGAATATCTTTAAGAGGGATCACAGAGGAACTCAGAGGCAGGGTGATGAACAGTGTTGTGATGGTTTGGTAAAATAGAAAAGGACCATGCAGGCATTGGATCTAGTTTGTTTTGAGGTTGACTCCTGCTAGTTAAATGATCATAGGTAGGGGCTGGGGGTATGGCTCAGTTGGTAGAGTGTATGCACAAGGCCCTGGGTTCAGTCCTTAGCAACACACACACACACACACACACACAAAGTGATCATAGGTAAATTAACTTATCTCTTAAATGGGTATTGGGTAACTTGCCTCGTGACTTGGATATAATAGTGTATTTAAAGTGCCTGGCATGTAATGGTATTTGTTAAATGTTTGTTGAGTGAGTAAGTGGATGAAAGGATACATTGCTAAATTGCTTTCAAAAGGACACTAATTTTTCACTGCCACCAGAAATATAAGGCCATTTTTATTATGTCATCAGCACAGGCAGTATAATGTTAAGTTGCTAGATGAATAGACTATAAAAATGCTACTTTGTTTTGGTTTGTATTTGATTACTAACAAAATTGAGCATTTTAATATATTTGATACGTATTTCTGAATTCTTTCTGTGGGATTTATGTATTCATATCCTTTGTTTAATTCTTTGTGTATAATATAGGAATGAGTTCTTTGATTAGACAGCTGATAAGAGGGAAGGGTAATAACTGAACTTAATGTTTTAAAATATTCTCCTTTGTAAGTAAGAGTAATTTTATTTGGAAGTAGCTTACATGATTTTGAGTGATTACTTTAACTATAATGAATGGATGTAGGTTAAGGCTTAATTAAGACCTAATATTTTGGTTACAACTTTTATTTTTTCTTTAATTTTTTTTAATATTTTATTTTTTAGTTGTAGTTGGACACAACACCTTTATTTCACTTATTTATTTTTATGTGGTATTGAGGATTGAACCCAGGGTCTCGCACGTGCAAGGCGAGTGCTGTACCACTGAGCCACAACCCCAGCCCATAATTTTTATTTTTTTAACCTGCAGAGTGGTGGACATGACAACAGAATCAATTGTGTACAATGGCATGAAGACAGTGGCTGCTTATATAGTTGTTCAGATGATAAATATATTGTGGAATGGAACGTACAGACATGCAAAGTGAAGTGGTAAGTAGCACTGATGGCTCTGGAATTGGTGGCGGACTTATTTACCATTTGGAAATATAACGGGTTTGATAAATCCTGCTAGACAAAATGGGGAATAAACACATTAATAAGATTATATACTGTTCTCAGGGAATCTTTAATCAAATTAGGCCTGCAAGATTTTAGTACATAAAAGTGAAATGGTACAAGGGGAAAATAATTGTAGAAGAGATTTTATTTGGAAGTAGCTTACATGATTTTGAGTGATTACTTTAACTATAATGAATGGATGTAGGTTAAGGCTTAATTAAGGTAGCATGTGGTTATTTTTCAGAAGAGTACAGTAGTGTTGAAGTCCTGGTGGAATAGAAGGGATGTCAGTTGGACTAGGACAGATAGAATTTGGATAGAGGAGGGCAGGAGAGTCCTTTTAATAGTAGATTAAGGAAAGTGAGTAGATAGCAAGAGCAAAGGCCAAGAGATAGAAAAGTGAAACATTTACTTGTGTAGTGAGTAATTTAAAGGAGGTGCGGACTAGATGATCATGCATGGTAGAGGGTAGAAATATCAAATTAATAAAAATTATAGTCAGAAGAGGGAAGTGGTTTGGGGGGTTTTTAGACAAGTTGAATTTGAAATCATGTGAAAGACAAGACCTAGCAGTCAGGATGGTGACAGGCTTAGAGTTTAAGGGGAGGGCTCAGGACTGGAGGTACTGGTGAGGAAACTATTTGCACTCCATTTACCTATAACAGTAGTTTTTATACTGGTGACCTGCTTGAAACACCTGTCAGATCCAGAGGGTCTGGAATGGGACCTGTGTTGTTATATTCTGGATGAGAATTCATGAAGTTGGTTTCTTCACATGGAGACCAGTAATGTTCAAGGCACATTGTTCAACAGTTTAGACCATTGTGTTTAATCATAATACAGTGATGTTGGCTTTGTCCCTACTTTATAATTGAGAAATAGATGAAGAGCTTGACCTCTTGCCTTTTAAACTGTGCTCTTTTTAAGTATTTGTTTACAGCTTTATCCTTAACATTCTTATGCTTCTGTTAATTGACCCCCCCACCTCCCCTCATTTTAGATACTATCTACTTATTTCCTCCTGTGGAAGATGAGGATTTAACTCTCTTATATCTCTTCCTTCTCTTGTTATTATATTAGATTAGATTTGGTTCAGCAGTATTTGTTGTTTATATTATGATTCCTTATTGTTAAAGCTGAGGTTTGGATTATCCCAGGTTTGCATTTTCTTGTACAAAATTTCTCTTTTCTTGGGGTTTATCACATGGTTTTCTTCACATAGTTTAATATGTACCTGATATTAGTTTACTCTCATTCTTAACAGTAGTGTAAATCTTCCAGTTGTATTTAGACACATCAATTAGTTTTATTTATTTCTTGGGAGAATTTCTATTGTCCTGGGTTTGCTGAATAGCCACTATTTTGAGATTTGCTTTCCTCATCATCCTGAAAAATTTCTCTTATTAGCTTGAGCCTCTGTTGCCTGGATGACATTTTCCCCTCTCTTGGTTAGGGAACACTGGTCGATAGCTTTTTAAGGAGAAGGGTGTGTTTGTGGTGAATTTTTGAGATTTTGTTTACTCACTGTTGTCATTTTAATTCTACTTTCTTCATTGATAGTTTGAGGATAAAAGATTTTAGTTTGAAATTAAATGTTTTAATTTTGTTTCATTTTGGGATAGGGCCTCATGGAGTTGTCAGGGCTCCAGTGATCCTCCCACCTCTCAGCCTCTGGAGTGGCCGGGATTACCCTGGTTTCCTTTAAGACTTTGAAGGTGTTTGTTCCATTGTCTTTCAGTGTTAATTATTTTGGGTATTCTGTAATTTTATGTGCTCTCTAATTAATTAATTGCATTGGTGCTGGATGAGACCATTTAGCCTGGCAGCCTAGAAATTCACATGCTTCATTTTTCTTGTACTATTCATTAGATAATTTTATTCACTATTTTTTTAAGTCCCTATTACTATATACTGTTTTTCAGATCTTGTATTTTGTGAGCTGATTATTGCAATTTCTGACTTGTTTTCTCTGGTTTTTCATTTTGCCTTTTTATTTGTTGTCTGTTTAATTTTTTCAATTTCATTTTCAAAACCTTCTGTTGAGTTAGGAGTAGTTTTGTGCACACCTGTAATGCCAGAGATTCGAGGCTGAGGCAGGCTCAAGGCCAACAACTTAACAAGGCCCTTAGCAACTTAGTGAGACTCTGTCTCAAAACAAAAAGTTAAAAAAAAAAAAGAAGAAGAAGAA